AAAAAAAAAAAAAAAGAGTTCTGGTGGTAGGGGAGGAGACTGGGTTAGGGTTGAGGATGATAAATGGGGAATGAAATTTCATAAGTATTCTATTATGATCATTTATTTGGATATTTGTATTAGATTTGGTCAATGGGGACTTCTGGGCTGATGGCTCTGTTTTTGTTTTTTAATGTATCCTATCATTCTTTGAGCACTTCCTTGCTTTCTGGCACAGCAAAATGTCCAGGCTCATCTTTTACCTTCCCAACCCTAGTCCTAAAATCAGCCATTTCTCCAAAGGAATAGCCTTGATTCCTTTTATTGGTGGAATATGCTACTTCAAAACCATGCTCTGAGTGATAGGGCATTGCCACCACTCTATCTTTGCTTTTAGGCCCTTTCAGCAGATACACATGTACACACGTGTACACATACTTAAAAGCATGAGTTAATATTGATAACCACCAACTCCAGTCCAGCACAAGAGTTACTTCAGTCTTTTTCTTTTCCGTATTTGTACCTGCCTTCTCCAGCGGTGAGAATCGTGACTCCCATTAATGTCAATGTATTTGCTCATGTACTCAGTCTTAGAAAATAGAGTTATTTCAGGATTGATAATCCATATCAATGTGAATAAGTAAACTTCTAGCTACAGTTCAATATTTGTTTAAAAATCTTCTTGTCTTTTGTATTTAATTGAAGTAGTGTGTTTGTAAGTTACTTGAGTTAAATACTTTTCTGCTTCAATGTGGTTATGTTACTCATTTTCACAAAACTATTTTAATATACTTAGGCTCGCATGTTTATTTCTATTCTAAGTTTTTTTCCCTTTATATTTTGAGTTTGTGAAGCATTAACATAGTTCAAAAAGGTATCCTTCATGAAGTGTCACTCCCCACTCCATCCCTTCTACCCTTCCTCCACCACACCATTTCTACTCACCCCATATGAAGTTGTACAATCATCACCACTATTTATTTCCATGACATTTTCATCACCCCAAAATGAAACTCCATCACATTAGCAGTGACTCCCCATTTCCCCTTCCTTCCAGTCCCTCGAATCACTGCTGTCTCTGTGGCTTTGCCTGTTCTATACATCTCATATGAGAAGTGGTACCCATTGTGGTTTTGATTTGTATTTCCCTACTGACTGATGATGGTGAGCCTCTTTTCATGTGCTTATTGGTCACTGGCATATCTTCTTTGGGAAATGTCTGGTAGATGTTTCCCCTATTTGTATTTGGGGTTATCTTTATTGTTGAGTTGTAACAGTTGAGCTTATTTTGTACTTTGCTCAGCTTGTTTCTGCTTTGGCCAATGAGAGCGCTTTCATGTTGGTTCCTGTGTCTTTTGGGCATATTTCTGTCCTTTAAAGTTTTTTGTGCATTCTCTTACATTTTGGTTCTTGACTCTTGTATTTTCCATGCCCTGATAATGGTTGTTGAGCACTAAGATTTTTCAATGCTTAATTAATTTCACTTCTTAGGAAATTATTGTTCATATTTGACCTCCTTCCCCATTCTACTTGCCCTCATCTCTTGGCAGGGGGAGAATGTAAAACAAATCACTTAACTCATTTTTGATCTTCCCTTTTGTTGAAAAACAGGTATTGAGAGAAAAAAGAATTCCTCCCTGGATGGAGGTGGCTCTTATCCCCATGACAGGAAAACCCAGTCTGTACCCAGGACTATTCCTTTTCACCACTCCTTGTAGACTGGTACGGCCTGTGCAAAACTTGGAATTGGGCAAAGCAGAACTAATTGGAACTATGGAACAGGTACCTGGAGCATATGTGATGGATGGGTGTATATGGTCAAGAGTATTAAAATATTGTTATCATTATTATAACAATCAGCTATTTTAAAAGAAAGTCAAAACTTACTTTTTACCTTAGTGACCAGCACTAAACAGTTCATCTGTTTTATCTCATCAAATCGGCTAGAGAGGGTTAGTGGTCACATTACCTCCTTCCTTTCTGGCCCAGTTCCCAAAGTGCCTTTGCCCCCAGATCTGCCTCAGGTGGTGAGATTGACACATTCCATAGACTTACTTATGCACTTTGTGCTCCTTCTTCCTATTCCCCATCACAATTAGACTAATGCAGATTTAGAATGAAATACATAAAGTGAGTGCTTTCTAACTGGAAGCTTCCCTGCACCTCACCATGGATCTCTGCAGGGTTCATGAGGCTGATAGGGAAGGTTTTATTTCAAGTCTTTAAACACTAAACATTGTGAAATAGTACGAGTTAACATGTTGGCAGTCATTTTGTGGCTTGAATTTCCTTATCTTTTCATCCTTTCTAGATCTTCATGAACATTGCTATCTTTGAGGATGAGGTTTTTGCTGGAGTTACTACACACCAGGAGCTCTTCCCTCACAGTTTGCTGAGTGTGATCGCCAACTTCATCCCTTTCTCTGATCACAACCAGAGTCCACGGAACATGTACCAGTGCCAGATGGGTAAGGCGGGATGGAGGATGGTGGTAATCACACTGAGAGAAGAAAGGCACTTGTAACTTTTTATTTTGAAACAATTTCAGACTTAACAAAATGTTGCTAGAATGATACAAAGACGCCTCCTATAAACTCTTGAAACTTAGGTCACTGCTAACATTTTGCCCCATTTGCACTGTTTTTCCATTTGAAGTTGCAGACATGATGCCTCGTTAGTCCCAAATACTTTAGTGTATAGTTTTTCAGAACAAAGGTTTTCACTTACACAGTTATCAAAATCAGAAATTTAACACTGATAGTATTATGGTATTTTATAGTCATTATTCTGTTACCAGTTGTCCCAAAATTGTGGTTTATGGTGATTTTTTCTGTGCATTACCCATTCTAAGATCACACATTGTATTTAGTTGTCATGTAACAAAGTTATTCACCCCTTCTTACTCCCCATTGATCTTGAAGTTCATATGTATCCTTTCCATTTACCTTTTTATGCTTTAATGCATTTTATGTTCATAAACCAGGGTTAGAATTTATGTTGTATACATCACATCTATGGTATTATAACATAAATGGTATTACACTGAATGTGTCATACTGTACTTTTTCCCCACTCAACATTGTTTCCAGTCTGGTCATGTTGATACATGAAGGTAGACTTCATTTTCACAGCTGTGTAGTATTCTATAGTAAAAACCACCATGATTTGCTTATTCATTCCTCTACTGATAAATATTAGTTGTTCCAATTTTATATTTCACCTTTACAGTCAAGCAAACCCTCTAAAAAATACTATGGTGTTTTTTTCTTTCCTGTAGGTAAACAAACTATGGGCTTTCCACTTCTTACTTACCAAGACAGATCAGATAATAAACTGTATCGTCTTCAGACTCCACAGAGTCCTTTAGTCAGACCATACATGTATGATTATTATGACATGGATAACTATCCCATTGGGACAAATGCCATCGTTGCTGTTATTTCTTACACTGGCTATGATATGGAAGATGCCATGGTAAGATTTATCACAGGAGTTGTGGCTGTGGCTCCATTCTTCTCTAAGCTTTTTGTATGTTGTGAGATAACTAGAGAATTTACTGCTATGTCCCAGTGTGTCAGGCATTTGGCACATGAGCATTCTGTTAAATGGTTGGTTCCTGGTCTTGGCTGAATGTGGGTAAGCATTAAAGGATATTTACTAAATATTTAAATATGCTGATATCTGCATGTCTGAATGTATAATGTAAGTAAATTTTGAATAAATATAAAAGCTGACTTGGATATATCTACCTTTTACGTTCATGAATGATTAGGTTTTAAGCCATTTATGTGTTTGGGTTTTTAATAGTATAGGTAACTTGGATAATGGGGGGATAGTTTTAAAATTGAGCACCAGTTATTCTAACCTAAGTTTTACTATCTTTGTAACCAGCTTTATTTTTAAAATCCTCATTTGGCTCCAGTCTCATGATTCTTTGACTTTTCAGATTGTGAATAAGGCCTCTTGGGAACGAGGCTTTGCCCATGGGAGTGTGTACAAGTCTGAGTTCATTGATCTGTCTGAAAAAATTAAACAAGGAGATGATAGTCTGGTGTTTGGAGTCAAACCTGGTGATCCACGGATTTTGCAGAAATTAGATGACGATGGGTTGCCGTTTATTGGAGCGCAGTTACAGTATGGAGACCCGTATTACAGCTACCTCAACCTCAATACTGGGGAAAGCTTTGTGGCATACTATAAGTGAGTGTGGATATATGTGCTGTTTTAGCAAAGGTTTTTTCTAAGAATTGCTAAAGGTCAATTTAACAAATTTGGTGGGGGAGGGGGGGAGTAGTAGCTCACGGTCAGTCTTACCTGAATTTGGCATTGCTTAAATGAGGCAAGAAAGTTCTCGTCTGTTGTACTGCCTTTGTTTGTCTAACTTACTGTCTGTCAAAATTTAGAGTTATCTGTGATTTATTTTAAAGTAGATTATTTAGACTTTTTCTCACACATGTTGTTAGGAATATTTCCTAGCTAAAATGTTGAGTTCATTATTGCTCTTAGTAAATTTTTACTTTGGCTTATTTTACAACAGAATTGGTCAACTGTAGGTCTTCATAATAATTTTTCAGTTGCCCGTGCTCCTAGTTTTCCCGCAGATGAACATAATTTCGTAGTGAGCATATCCCTATGCATGAATACTTTTAGGGAAACCAACTCAATTTGTTTTAGGGAACGGAGGTAAGAATATGTTTTGTTAGTAAGACAATAATTGTATCGGCAAAACTTAAGTATCTCTATGAGTTTAAACAAATAGTTTGACTTTTTATATGGTGTACTTTTTCCTAGGAGTAAAGAAAATTGTGTTGTGGATAACATCAAAGTGTGTAGTAATGACAGTGGAAGTGGAAAATTCAAATGTGTTTGCATCACCATGAGAGTCCCTCGGAATCCAACTATCGGAGATAAATTTGCCAGTCGTCATGGGCAGAAGGGCATTTTGAGCAGGTTGTGGCCAGCTGAGGACATGCCTTTTACTGAGAGTGGGATGGTCCCAGACATTCTATTTAATCCTCATGGTTTTCCATCCCGTATGACCATTGGCATGCTGATTGAGAGTATGGCGGGGAAGTCTGCAGCTTTGCACGGTCTCTGTCATGATGCTACACCCTTCATCTTTTCAGAGGAGAACTCGGCCTTAGAATACTTTGGTGAGATGTTAAAGGCTGCTGGCTACAATTTCTATGGCACTGAGAGATTGTATAGTGGCATCAGTGGGCTAGAACTGCAAGCAGACATTTTCATAGGCGTGGTTTATTATCAACGTCTACGCCACATGGTCTCTGACAAGTTTCAAGTTAGAACAACAGGAGCCAGAGACAAAGTCACCAACCAGCCTATTGGGGGAAGAAATGTCCAGGGTGGAATCCGTTTTGGAGAGATGGAGCGTGATGCTCTTTTAGCCCATGGTACATCTTTTCTCCTTCATGACCGCCTCTTCAACTGCTCTGACCGTTCAGTAGCCCACGTGTGTGTCAAGTGTGGTAGCTTACTCTCTCCACTGCTGGAGAAGCCACCCCCTTCTTGGTCTACCATGCGCAACAGAAAATACAACTGCAGTCTTTGTAATCGAAGTGACACTATCGACACTGTTTCTGTGCCTTACGTTTTTCGGTATTTTGTAGCAGAACTGGCAGCTATGAACATCAAAGTGAAGTTGGATGTTGTTTAACTTGATGATGGTCTTTTGGTTTAGGAGCTGTGTCAGATGAAAATAAAATGTAAGTTTAATTTTATGAAGACAATTATTTAGGTTACTTCACAGGGGACATCAGGCTCTACTGGCATGACATACTACTCAAAATCATTGTTCTATATCCTAGTTCCTTGAATAATGACTGGGGTCTTAAAAGCTTGTAAGCAGCCATCTAGATGCAATAATTGGTCTCTCCACACCCAGAGCAAAGAAGAAAGAAGAAAACCAAAGATGCATGGACACAGTCCAGGGGACTAGTGGACCATGCAAACCTCAGCCTATATGACCTTGAGACCAGAAGACCTAGATGGTGCCTGGCTATCACTGTCATCCACTCAGGAAGGGGTCAGGGCAGGAGATCCTGGATAGAGTGGGAGGACAATGTGAACAAAACTCAAAATCATAAAAAAAAACAACAGACTTACAGGTCTAGTAGAGACTGGGGAAACCCCCAAGACTGTGGCCCCCAGGGCCCTTTCAGGCCTGGAATTGAACTAATTCCTTTGGCTTCCAGCCAAATAGGCATATAAGATGAACATTTGCACAGGTTGATAGCTCAGGGCAAGAATCCATAGAAAGAAGGATACAGGGAAAAGGTAACCACAGGGAGAAAGTGGGAAGAGAGCTGTTACATTGTGGGGACTGCAGTCGTTGTCATGAAATGAAATGTGTATGAACTGCTGAATGCAAAATGAATTTGCTTTGTAAACTTTGACCCAAATCACAGTTTAAAAAATATATATATAGTTATTTTGAGGTTTTTCAGGAATGTTACAACTCTGAATTAAGACCTGGGAACTGACAGTTCAAGGCTTCTCAGCCTTAAACACAGGCTGGTATAATAACTACTAAAACTTATTTTCACTGTATTTGTTCAAAGGAATTCCTAGGTGGTGCAAACAGTTAAGTGCTTGCCTACTAGCCGGAAGGTTGGCAGTTCATACTTACCCAGAACCATCTTGGAACACAAGCGTGGCAGTCTGCCTTGGAAATCATATGGTGTGGTTTTACTCTGCACATTTGGGGTTGCCATGAGTTGAAATTGACTCGATGGCAACTAACAACATTGTTGAAGGTCAGGAATTAAAAATCAATTGAATCAATAGATTGTTTTAAACACTTGCACAGTTGTCTTTTAAAATGACATATTGATACACAGAGGAGTATACAGGGGAAAATCTCTTTTTTCAACCTGTCCTGTCTTCTGGTTCCCTGTACCCTGCTTCAACAGTGCATGACTATCGCATGTTTATTTGCATATCTAGAGCAGAGCAGTCAAGCAGAAATAATGAAAGCTATATATTTTTTGTCTTGCCTTCCCCTTCACCCAGGTTATGTGTCTATCTTCTAGTTAGTGGTTTGCCCTCCCTGCCTTATCCACCCCTGGTAACCATCAAAGAATGTTTCTTTTTTTGTGAACTTCTTTTTGACTTTTTACAACAGTGGTCTCATATGATATTTGTTCTTTTGTGATTGACTAATGTGATTCCATATAATGTCCTTGAAGTTCATCCACGTTATGAGGTGTTTCACAGATTCATTTATTGTTCTTTAACGTTGCATAGTATTACATTATGTGTATGTATCATAGTTTGTTGCTCCATTCATGCAATGATGAACATTTAGGTTGTTCCCATCTTTTTACTATTGTTAGTAAGGCTGCAATGAACATGCATGTGCATATGTCTTTTTGTGTCATGGCTCTTATTTCTGTAGGATATATTCCTAGTAGAATTACCAGATCATACGGTATTCTAATTCTATCTTTTTAAGGAAGCACCATAGCATTTTCCACAGTGGTCACACCATTTTACAGTCCTACCAACAGTGTATGAGGGTTCCGGTCTCTCTACACTTTCCCAGCATTTGTTTTCTGTTTTTTGAATTTGGCTATTAGTCCTGAAGTAAGGTGGAATCTCATTGTTGTTTTGCTTTATATATCCATAATAGCTAATGATTATGAACATTTCTTCATGTGTGTGTTTGCTGCCTGAATATCATCTTTGATGAAGTATCTGTTCATGTAATCTACCCACTTTTTAACTGGATTATTTCTCTGTCTGTTGTTGAAGTGTTGAAGTTTTCTATAAATTTTAGAGATTGGTCCCTTGTCCAAAAGGTTGTTGCCAAAAATGTTTTTCCCAGTCTGTGGGTTCTCTTTTTATTCTTTTGGTAAAATCTTTTGATGTACATAAGCACCTAATTTTAGGAGGTCCCAGTCATCTGTTTTGTCTTCTGGTATTTATAATTTTAGTTATGTTTGATGGTATATTTTTGCCCTGAATGAGGGCCCCTAAGTTTGTCCTTATTTTTTCTTTGATAGTCTTTATGGTTTACGTTCAGGTGTTTGACCCAACTAAGTTCATTTTTGTATATGGTGTTAGATGTGGGTCCTGTTCCATTTTTCTGCAAACAATACTAAGTTTTGCCAGAACCATTTATTAGACTTTCTCTTTTTCATCTAATGAGTTTCAGCCCTTTGTCAAAGATCAGCTGCTCACAGGTGGATGGATTTACTTCTGGGTTCTCATTAGTCTGTGTGTCTGTGGGTAGTAGGCTTTGAGATTAGGGAGTCTAAGGCCTCCTATTTTGTTGTTCTTCTACACTTAGTTTTTCCTGCATAATTTATATTGAGCTGCTTTCCTATCAGTTTATATGGTGCTTCTGTTCAATTGCTTCTCTATCTTCTGTATTTTTGTGTACAGTAGTTTATTGTACGGATGTACCGTAATGCTGAAAGAACTGAGGGAAAAATTTAAGCCTTGAATAGCAAAATTGAAAGATTACATGGGCAATATGCTGAATGATGCAGGAAGCATTAAAAGATGATGGATGGAATACATGGAGTCACTATACCAAAAAGAACTGGTCGATGATCATCCATTTCAGGAGGTGGCATATGATCAAGAACCAATGGTATTGAAAGAAGAAGTCAAAGCTGCACTGAAGGAATTGGTGAAAAAAAGGCCCGGGAATTAATGGAGTATCCATTGAGATGTTTCAACAAATGGATGCTGCGCTGGAGGCACTCAGTTGGCTAGGCCAAGAGATTTGGAAGACAGCTACCTGGCCAACTGACTGGAAGAGATCCATATTTATACCTATCCCAAAGAAAGATGATCCCACAGAAAGTGAAAATTATGGAAAAATATCATTAATATCACACGCAAGTAAAATCTTACTGAAGATAATTCAAAAATGGTTGCAGCATTATATGGACAGAGAACTTCCAGAAAAGCAAGCTGGATTCAGAAGGGGACATGGAACGAGAGTTATCACAGCTAATGTCAGATGTATCTTGGATGAAAGCAAAGAATACCAGAAGGTGTTTATTTGTGTTTTGTTGACTATGCAAAGGCATTTGATTGTGTGGATCATAACAGATTATGGATAACACTGAGAAGAATGAGAATTCCAGAACACTTAATTGTGTACTCATGAGGAACCTGTACATAGACCAGGAGGAGGCTGTTGTTTGAACAGTACAGGGGGGATACTGCATGGTTTAAAATCAGGAAGGGAGTATGTTAGGGTTGTATCCTTTCACCTTACTTACTCAATCTGTACACTGAGCAGATAATCCAAGAAGCTACACTATGAAGAAGAACGTGGCATCAGGATTGGAAGAAGACTTATTAACAACCTACGATATGCAGATGACACAACTTTGCTTGCTGAAAGTGAGGATGACTTAGAGCACTTACTGATGAAGATTAAAGACTACATTCTACAGTATGTATTACACCTCAACATAAAGAAAACAAAAATACAACTGGACCAATAAGCAGCATCACGCTAGATGGAGAAAAGATTGAAGTTGTCAAAGACTTCTTATTACTTGGTTCTACAGTCAATGCCAGTGGAAGCAGCAGTCCAGACATCAAAAGACGTATTGCATTGGGCAAATCTGTGCAAAAGACCTCTTTCAAGCTCTGAAGAGCAAAGATACCTCCTTGAAGACTAAGATGCGTCTAACCCAAGGCATGGTATTTTCAGTTGCTTCATATGCATGTGAGAGCTGGACAGTGAATAAGGAAAATCAAAGAAGAGTTGATGCTTTTGAGTTGTGGTGTTGGCGAAGAATGCTGAAGGTACTGTGGACTGCTAAAAGAACTAACAAATCTGCCCTGGAAGAAGTGCAGCTGGAATGCTCCTTGGAAGCAATGATGGCCAGACTTCATCTGACTTACTTGGTCCTATTGTCAGAAGGGACCATTCTCTGGAGAAAGATGTCATGCTTGGTAAAATGGAGGGTCAATGAGAGAGGGGAAGGCCCTCAACAAGATGGAATGACATAGTAGCTGCAGCAATGGGCTCAGGTATAGTAGGGATCGTAAGGCTGACACAGGACTGGGCAATGTTTCATTCTGTTGTATGTAAGGTTGCTATGAGTCGGAGATGATTCGATGGCTCATGAGAACAACTACCGTAATGCATATGCCAGTCCCCTATTGATGGATATATATGTATTTTTTTAACTACTACAAGCAGTGTTGACATTGTTGCATATACTGTTGGATAACTGTGCATGCACACGTATAAGAACAAGATGTTTTTTGATGTTAAACATTGCCCTATGATTATCCCTGAGTATGTTATTAGATAACCTGTCACTAATTAAAGCTAGACTGAGAAAAATCTATCCATTCAAGATTTATCCTAGCTTTGCTTCATGAAATAAGTTGAAAAAGTATCTAGACTCTATTGGCTGGTACTTCCTCCTACCATCAGTAGAACCCCAGCTGTAGACTTTCCCAGCCTACTCCATTCTCTGTCCTCCTCAATCCCATAGTTGACATCTATTCAAGTGTCTTAGCTCCATTTGTTTTTTAGCAGCATTAAAAGAGGGTAATCATATTTGGGTGTTTTTTTGTGTTTTTTTTTAACATTTTATTTTGAATTACAGATTTCATAACTAGGAAATTCACATGGGACAATCCACAGAATTCATTTGGGTTTCACCAGTTTTACATGCATGTGTGCACCATTCATTTTTATCACATATAGATTGGTGTACCCACCAACATAAGATACAGAACTATTCCATCACCATAGGGCTCCAT